TATATATATATATATATAACTAACTGCAGACAGTACTGTTTCGGCCTTCTGGGCCTCATCAGTGCAGTGCTAATGCTAGGATGGGGGAGAACCGAGACGGTCACCCCAAACGACCCAACCTTTGTGGTATCGTCTAAGCCATGCCAGAGTGCTCAAACTAGAGTAAACCAGCGAGCATGCGCAATTGCAACGGCAATGACTCATCCTAGATAGAGTGCTCAATTTGGACATGAAAGCAAAGCTTTGTATGCCAAAGAGCTATATCTAACTGCAGACAGTACTGTTTCGGCCTTCTGGGCCTCATCAGTGCAGTGCTAATGCTAGGATGGGGGAGAACCGAGACGGTCACCCCAAACGACCCAACCTTTGTGGTATCGTCTAAGCCATGCCAGAGTGCTCAAACTAGAGTAAACCAGCGAGCATGCGCAATTGCAACGGCAATGACTCATCCTAGATAGAGTGCTCAATTTGGACATGAAAGCAAAGCTTTGTATGCCAAAGAGCTATATCTAACTGCAGACAGTACTGTTTCGGCCTTCTGGGCCTCATCAGTGCAGTGCTAATGCTAGGATGGGGGAGAACCGAGACGGTCACCCCAAACGACCCAACCTTTGTGGTATCGTCTAAGCCATGCCAGAGTGCTCAAACTAGAGTAAACCAGCGAGCATGCGCAATTGCAACGGCAATGACTCATCCTAGATAGAGTGCTCAATTTGGACATGAAAGCAAAGCTTTGTATGCCAAAGAGCTATATCTAACTGCAGACAGTACTGTTTCGGCCTTCTGGGCCTCATCAGTGCAGTGCTAATGCTAGGATGGGGGAGAACCGAGACGGTCACCCCAAACGACCCAACCTTTGTGGTATCGTCTAAGCCATGCCAGAGTGCTCAAACTAGAGTAAACCAGCGAGCATGCGCAATTGCAACGGCAATGACTCATCCTAGATAGAGTGCTCAATTTGGACATGAAAGCAAAGCTTTGTATGCCAAAGAGCTATATCTAACTGCAGACAGTACTGTTTCGGCCTTCTGGGCCTCATCAGTGCAGTGCTAATGCTAGGATGGGGGAGAACCGAGACGGTCACCCCAAACGACCCAACCTTTGTGGTATCGTCTAAGCCATGCCAGAGTGCTCAAACTAGAGTAAACCAGCGAGCATGCGCAATTGCAACGGCAATGACTCATCCTAGATAGAGTGCTCAATTTGGACATGAAAGCAAAGCTTTGTATGCCAAAGAGCTATATCTAACTGCAGACAGTACTGTTTCGGCCTTCTGGGCCTCATCAGTGCAGTGCTAATGCTAGGATGGGGGAGAACCGAGACGGTCACCCCAAACGACCCAACCTTTGTGGTATCGTCTAAGCCATGCCAGAGTGCTCAAACTAGAGTAAACCAGCGAGCATGCGCAATTGCAACGGCAATGACTCATCCTAGATAGAGTGCTCAATTTGGACATGAAAGCAAAGCTTTGTATGCCAAAGAGCTATATCTAACTGCAGACAGTACTGTTTCGGCCTTCTGGGCCTCATCAGTGCAGTGCTAATGCTAGGATGGGGGAGAACCGAGACGGTCACCCCAAACGACCCAACCTTTGTGGTATCGTCTAAGCCATGCCAGAGTGGCATGGCTTAGACATGCCACTCAGCAACGAATTGAGGTTTTTAGTCCAAGACATTTAATTTCTACTCAACTGTATGTCCACGAATTTACTCACACTTTTATCCATCTGAAAAAAAGTACCTATCACAATGGTATGGCCCCTCGCATGCTTTACCTCTACTCCTCCTTGTGTTCTCCCGTAATCATGGGCGATCAGACCACCGATCTGTTGCGTACGTTTCAGTATCGTCCTTCATTGAAAGGGAGTTATTACTACGAACCGAAACACGTTCATTGCATCGCTTTGCGAAATCAACACATCGACGAGGTGGAAACACAACTCAGCGAATCGGAAAATAATCATCGGGCGCAATTTACTAAAGACGGAGCAAGCATCGTCACGCTACATTTCAGAAGGGTTAAATAGTCGTCACGAGTGTATGTGTAAGCAGCCACCTCATGGGTATCCGAGTATGGCGTCCCAAGTTTCCGCGAAAAAGATATTATGCTACCACATGTCTAGTGTTAACGACGGGGGTGTGCTATAAAAAAGACAATGTAATCTGTTGAGTATCCAAGATGTCTAGGGGGGATTTGAGAAATTAAATCACTGTAGATGTCTTTTTAACAAATTTTTTTATTAGAAATAAATCATTGTTCAATACACTAAAAGGTTGAGGAGTTCTATATCCTCTGCATCTAATCTTTTGTATCCGTAAGGAAACGACCTAAATGTCCCACGACCATGATTCGCTTATCAAATACGAGTCGATATGATTTGATTTGTGTTTCTGTCCGTATCTTTTTCTTGACGGGATCGCGGACAAAATGCAGGGGGTTGATGATATCCGTCTTTCTCGGGTCTTCCAGAGGGTGACGTATTTCGTCGAGGATGTTTTGCTTCATGACGTCGTAATTGAGTTGCGCCATACCACGCACGTTTATTGAAAACCCTTTTACTTTCATGCAAGATTTCCCTTGAGTTGTGACGTACCCATAATTCTTGGCTCCCGCCGAAATGAACTCCACGGTATGGTCCCCTTCGTCCAGTTCGTTGGTCATATCCCCCAAATAATCACCCAAGGCAATTTCTGTCTCTCCCGGTTTCCACTTTTACACCATCGAATCGGTATCGTAATACAAGACGCGATCTTTTAAGATTTCCAGTGATTCGTATAGTTTAAGGCGTGCCTGGCACGTGGTAAAGGCGGCGATAAAGACATTTGTGGCGCGTCCTTTGAGAGGATCTTCGTCTTCTCTTTTGGCCACCACTTCCACGAGTTCGGGGGAAAGGATTCTGATATCTTGTACCTGTTCCAGAGGGTCATCGATGAGATTTAAAAGGGAGGCGGGATGCGTGATCTGATGCGTTTTCGATGTATTACAATTCTGACAAAACTTGCCCCAGAAGGAATTTAACATGAGTTTGGCCATAGCTTTCCTCCCAGGGTTTTTTGTAATCATGGCGGGATCCAGGTCGATGCCTTCGCGTTCTTTATACTGGCGTATGTAGTCGGTCTTCTGCTCTTCCGTCTGGCACCAGGCGGGATACCCACTACTTTCTTGCTTGATTTTAAGCCAGGTGTCGACGTAAGGGGCAAAGAGACCACGCCGTCTTTTTTCAAAATGCCACACCTCGTGGATTTTGATGAGTGTGTACCCCATGGCGATGGCTTAGTGGATTTCGGGAGTACACCAGGTCCTGTGCAGCATGCGTTCCTCGTCTGTGTGGGGACAAATGTAATTTCTTTCGTCCAGGGGTTTGATACATTCTTGCTGGACGCACGTACGGCAGAGGGGAAAGGTAAGTTTAGTGGCAGACCCAATTTTCTGGCGATGAGGCAACACGGGGTTGAAGAGATCTGTGGGAGGTAGAATATCGATTTTCATGAGCCCATAGTATGCTCGAGGATCTTGATTTTCTGGCTCTAAGTAAATGGTACGATGCCCGACGGGGTATTCTCCATATTTATTCACCCACGGGTATTCTGAGGTCACGTCGACGCATCTGATCTGTTCTCCTTGGATGAGATCTATGCGGTGGTAAAGCGTGGACGCTCCAGTCCTTCCGCCAAGAAACGCCTCGCGAGGATGGATGGGTGGGGTCAAAGAGAGAGACTGGATAAAGTCACGGAGGTCTGGGTTAGACTTCTTGAGATTTTCCCATTGACACTGCCACATTTCTATGATAGTGTACCCCAATTGACGCAATTTGGCGGTTTTCTGGGTTGTCTGACGTCGGCAGGCTTCTACTGTAAGTACGGAGCTACAGAAGGGAATCTGGCTTCTTTGCGGGTAACACTCACGGCATCCGTGAAAGAGACACCCATGGAATTCGTAGACGGTGAGCGAAGAGGCATGGTAACCGTCTACGCGATACACGGTAGGCCCATGAGGAATGCTATACTCGCCACCGTTTCTCGCATGCTGAATTCTCGTCCCCAGGCTTCGCTCGGTCCAGAGTAACCATTCTAAGGCCACGTGCGAATGATTGGGCGTGGCACCTTCCCAGCCGCCAACGGGTTCTATGGCAATGGAATCTGGGGTCATGACGCATTTTCGCCAATATCGGTTACAGGCTTGTGCGATGGTGACGCATTTTTCCATGGGATCGAATTTGGCGATGGAATGAAACTCTTCTATAAATTTTAGGCACCCGGCTTTTAACAATTTCACATCTGAGCGGCAGTACGCCATCAATTCTTCTTTGAGATGAAAGGGTTGGTTCTTTCTATGCTCTTCTGCGTACTAGGTCTCAAATTCTTTCTTCTTCTTTTCTGACATACCCTCGGGATCGTAATATTCGGCTGTAGGGAGTGGTCCGACGTAATTCTGGTGGTCGGGGGTATGAAATTTTTTTATGGGGGAAGAATCCTTTCTTCAGTTCAAGGATACCAAAGGTACTAGAGAAGGCTGATAAGGCCATGGGGAGGAAACACATGCTGTCTTGCTCACTTGCATACAGAGATTCTTGGTACCGTTGGGTATTATGAACTCAAAGCGGCGCTTTTCTTTAACCATCTGTTCTTGAAGAAAGACGGCATCATAACCTTTCAAATTATGAAAGATGCCAATCAATGACTTCTCTAAACTCGACCCAATGCCGGTTTTCTTCGGGGGGACCGTACGCCAATTCGCCCAAGAAGGCGAGAAAATCTCGGGTACACTCGTGGCCGTACAATTCATAGACTTGTCGCTCTCTGACGTTTCTCCGACGATAAGGATGGGAATATGGGTGCCGTCTTCGTCGAGCATGGCTTAAAAATCTGCCCACACTTTCACGGGAGGTTCCACGTACTCCGAGACGTCGGGGTTGGTTTTTCTTTGGCGTTTTAGAGTATCTTTGGATTTTTTCTTGGGTTCATCTTCGTAGGTGGGCACAGGTTGAATGAAGCATTTATGAGTACGAAGAATGACGTCTTCTTGTGCCATTTCCTGCCTCCCTGTTATCCAGTTACCGTCCACTTCCTACGAGACCCGTTACAGATGATGATGATGAAAATGATGGCCCTTCTATCTTTGACCATGCATTGCCCAACGATAGAGAAAGCATGAGGTTAAGAGCCATCGAAGATTTGGAACATTTACACCAACCCGGTGTCCTGGAACAACGCATTCGCGATGTAAGTCAATCGCATTCTCTTCTCACATCTCTATACTTTTCAAAGACTAAAAACGCTTTTCGCTTTTTTTGTAGACTTCAGACGACACTCTTTTAGATGTGGCTCATTTTTTTCTAGAACACAGCTTTATTCTAAATTATTTGCGCCGATTGTTTAGAGATATGAAGTGTACACTCATCCATGCCGCATCAACACATCAAAATGGAAATATATTACCCCGCCGATATGAACCAATATTTTTAGAATTTAGAGATTATTACGTGAGTTCTATAGATCGACCCTTGTATACAAACACCATGTTCAGATTCGGAGATTTTTTCTCGTCCTTCATAGCACCTCTTCAAACTCATTTGGCGCCTTTTTTTCGAATCTTTGTTCGTTACCCCATTTATGTTCATACCATTTCACAATTTCAACACCAATTCTTTCTCTTCACTGACACATAACTTTCTTCATCTTTTTTTCTAGATTCGATCTCTTCTCCAGTGTTCTCTTTTACATTTTGAAGACTATTTTGAATTATTTTATATTTTGTGGTTGGCTTGCGGGGGATTACAGATCGTTCTTTCTTCGCGCTCGCATTTCAGACGCATCGAACTTCTCTCGCATACAATCGAACCTTTTTTAGAGCGCGCTTTTAACAAATTTATTTATTTATTCTTTCCCGTTTCGGTACACCATTGTATTTACATTTGCCCGTTTTTTATCTCCCCTCGTTTTTTTCTTTCACAACGTAGAATTTGTCTCTATAGAACGTGTCATTATTTATTTTTGTTTCTATTGATACTTTTTTCCAGATACCACCCAGAGATTTCATTCTAACTTTATCTAAACAATATGTATCATCCGACGCGTTATTATTTCATGCACTCGTGGACGTTTACACTGTACTCTATCTTTATTTTCATGACTGAATACAGTCACAATACGTAGTAATAATATCTTTTAATCCAACTTTTGAACAACACTTTTTACATATTAATTCCATTTTTCCCGATTGCGTCTTTTATTGTTTATTCACGCATTTGTTATTCGAATACACTTCGTTTAGATGTCGCTTTTCTATTCACCACGGATTTTTAGAATGCAGGTCCATCATTCATTTTCACAGTATTACCAATCCACTCATGTCCCTTCATCTGTCTTATGTTTTGTAGATATCTCAAGACTCACTATGCACGCTGCTTCTACCTTATGAATTTGTTCTATATTCAACCGTTTATATCTTAGAGGCGTTACATCGCTATCTATTAGTCTTTCCACCAGATGAATGTCATTTTTACATAGAATCTTATTTTTCGACACGTTTTTCTCTTCGTATTTTATCTCATACCACCGATAGTCATTCAGATTACACACCTCGAGGCTTATGGAATCTTTTTTTTCATATTTACATATTACCTGTCTCTTTGCATGCGTTTGTCATACCACTACCTAATCCTCTGCAGATCCCTCTACTCTTATTAGTACCTTCTATACAATCGACCCATATCTGCAATTGCGCTTGTACCAAGCCCTTCGATAATTCCTATTGTTTTCTCTATTTTTTGTAGACTCGCTCGCCAGGATTAGACTCTTTCCACTTTTATTTAGGTTTTTTTACCAAACTTTTATTTCATGACCGTTACATGGACCATTTTTGTTTACACGTTAATTTTCAAGACGCGCGAGTGTTAAGTAATGTAATTTCTATCTGTGATCTTCGTACGACCACGATATTTTTTAATTATCCACCCATTCACCCGAACTTATAATGGTTAGGGAGTGCCTATAGTAGTGGATGCCACGTATTCGCTTTTATTCATTTTCTTTATAATTTTTATTTTTTCTAGGCACCCACTCTGTTTAATTTTACTGGGTGGCAATACAGACAACTCTTTTATTTTGTAAAGTATTTCTTGCGTAACATTCCACCTTCTCGCGAACTTTTTCTCGTATATAATAATTTTGAATTTTTTGTAGAATGTAATTGTCTTTACTATATCATGACGCACGTATGCCATACTTCTGCCCTTCATCCATCGCAAGTAGATATGATAGATGAGGCCCGTTCATTTATGTAATAGCTATTTGTCTGGTACTTGTATTTCGTTCTATAGTATTCCATATGAATAAACAACAATCAGTTCATGTCAATGTGTCTTTATTGAGTCTTTGACGCCTATTTTTACAACAAATGTCACTCCAACGTTCTGAATATTTCACCGTTGTCCATGCTTCTACATTCCCCATGAGTATGATCGTTTTTCGTCCCGAATCCTGCCATTCTTCAAATGTTTTCGTGACATCCTCGAACGTAAAGCAGTGGTTCCGAATTTTCTTTCCTACTCTCGCAAATTCGTGCCATCGCGTAAATAAATACAACTGCATGTGCGCTCCTTGGGGAATACCAAATCGTCTAAGTTTTTGGGAGACTGCATGGTCCATGAGTTGACACCACTCGTAAAATTCACTCCTTTCATCGTCATATCTGCGCAGGGGTATATACGCTATGAATTCCTTCTGTTTTAATTCCCTAATTCCACAGTCCTTTTCTTTAAGAGTTTCGGCATTTTTTCTCTTGCTTTTTAATCTTACGTTTAAGGCTATAAAGTCTCTTTTTATTCTTTGATCCCGACATGTGAATCCCAAAGTGCTATGATCCCGACTATGTGCTTTTTTTCTTCCTCACCGAAGTCTCTTTTTCAATTCGGCGCTGTAAATGTTTCCATGACCATGCGCACCTATCTTTGATAAAGCGATGCGACTATGCCGTCTTTTTAAACCACTCGGGCGAATATTTTTTATACGTCAGAGTCACCATTTCACTCATCGCATCTGAATGACTTTTCATGGGATTGCAAAGCGAAGCAAACACTTCGGTCACGTCGTCCACTTAAAAATTATTCTTCCTTAAGCGCTCCCCCAAATCCTCAAACGCTTCCCAATGTTTAAACATTGGATTTGGCCATTCATTGACTTCTCTGACCGTGTCGTCTTCCAATTGCTCGCAGGCATTCATAAACCTATACTTTGATGCTGGTCATCCTTTAATTTGGTCATAAACCTATACTTTGATGCTGGTCAAACCTATACAAAAACACGTTTGTCAACCGCTTAATTTTTAAACATAATCTAGTCTTATAATTTTTATATTGACTTTCTCTGTAATTTATATATATAGTTTCTTTTAATGTTGTAACATAGGATATGTGATTATTTATCTTATGCCTTAATAAATGATTTCAATCAATCAATCAATCAATCCATATCGAGAGACAGTAATTTCTTTTCAAAGACGGCTTGTAAATATTGAAGAAAATAATACGCCTTCATGTAATGACTCGATTTAGAAATGATTTCGTGGCGTCTCCTTAGGCACTCAGATGGGAACGTTGGCATACCCCAAGATGTTGCGTATGATTTCTCTGGGACCACACATTTTTTTAGGCGCGCACAAATCCAATAGATACTTGTTCTGATACAGTAATTCACAGTCGTTTAAAATCCTCACGACGCTCATGATGCGTTCGCTTTACCGTCCTCGCTACGACTGATGTCAAATTGCCTATTCCTAGAGTTTTTTAGAGAATATCCATCGGTCGCTCGTTGACGAGTCGTCGTAAAGGGGTTTGACATTTCGCGCATCGAATTAGATAATAGGGAGTATAATACCAACACGAAGTACATTGGAACCATATTTCTTCTGGTGTATGTATACACGCTCGTTTTACCCCAAATCACCTGTTTAGGCATCTTTCACTTGCGCTATGTGATTTTTTTTGCCCCCGCTTAAGTTTATACACTGCCGCTTTTTGCTGCCTTTCCCTTTCTATTTCATCCTTCAATATAGACGATTCACATCGACCGCATTCGCGTGAAAAGTGGTGAAAGGAAGACATGGATACACTGAACCATGTGGTGATCAAGCGATAACTTTATATACGCTTTTTTTTATGACAGCTTGTCAATCACTACTAGACAGACGTTTACGTTAACACACATTTATTTATAACAGAAAAACATTACAGGATACATTCATTTTTAACAGTTCAGATAAAAACATAATTTTTTAAGTGCAGATTTTCTGAAGTA